GCTTCTGAGACTGCAGCATTCTAAGTACAATATTGGAACAATGAGATCAGTCAACAAGAGAGCTGTCTAGAGAGGTTGTGTAATAGACATTGCTGCACTTCTTATGTCCAAGACTGATTAAGAAGAGCTTTTAAATTATCTGCCCCCTGAAGTATGTTTCATCCATCTGAGTCGTTTTTCTTCTACAATTGTTTCCAACATTGTCACATCTCGAACACTATCACATCTCAAGTATTCTACAAATCTGAGACTGACATTAGAATAGTACTTGCGTGGGTGGAACAATGAACCATTTTCCTGAAGATATATTCCTAGCTAAGATTTGTATGCTTTTGCTTTTTGGAGGTTAGCGAGCCTGAGGGAATTTGGCTTAAAATTGTTAGCTCAATACTCGTAAGTAGCACAGAGAGAAAAGCAATGAAAGGGGGGAAATCGGAAAGCTATAAAAAAAGTAGTATGACCTCATTTCCAGGGATGTAGAGCAAAGAACCCACAACTCCTATTAATGTCAGTGGAGCTTTATCAAACAAGCCACTAGAGCCTGTGTCATAATGCAGTAGTATAAATTTCCCTGAAGAAAACTGTAGTTTTACAGATTGTGAATATCAAGGTGGTTTTAAAGTATAAATAACATAATAAGACATACTTTTGACTCCAGTACCAGAATTGAGTATTCTCTTATTGTCAAAAGTTTATCTATAATAATCTGTGCACAATAAACTTGGCTGATAACATACCTTTAAAAAAAAATCATTCATTTTATAGACACTGCAGAAGGCTTGCAAAATGAATAGCAATTAGCTCATTTTAATATCCATGTACAACGACTGGATCTGCTTAAAATAGTAATAAAATAAGGAAGTGTTTAACATGGTTAGCATCTGCAAATCAATATTGAATTACTATTTGCAATATATGCAGAAATCTGGCAAACGTTCTGGTGGGCATTTTATATTTCTGGCTTGGTAAGAATCAGGACCCTCCAGAATGTGTGGGAGACCAATATCCTCCGTTGTTTGCAGAATGGATGAGGAGCGATGGTTTCAGATGGATTTTACAAAGTTGGTTAAAGCACAGGCCTGGGATGACTATTTTAATTTGCAGTGTAAAAGCCAAGCATCATGGAGCCTGGAAGACCAGAGGAAGGATGAAATGGAAGGGAATATCCCATTATATGCAGATGCTACAAGGAATATGCCAGGATATGGAGGAGAAGCTTCCAAGTGGCTGACGTAATGCAAAATTAGACTCAACCCAGAGGAATAATGAAGGGAAAGTGCATGCGCTACAATATGCTCCAGAGGAAAACTGAGACATTTGTCTTTTGGGGCCATACTCCCATGTGAGTCACGTGACTTCCATGAGGGCATGACACCCCCCCCCAAAAAAAATAACACACCCAGGATGTCCCACTTAAATCAGGACAGTTGAGAAGTATGAAAATGCAAAGCCCCATTTAAATCCCTGCCATTCAGATATGGCCCGAAAGATGCTTTTCTGGAACCCTGATTCTCATCAGCATAGACAATACTGAGCTAAATGGACCAGTGGTCTGTAGTGATGTGGGGAGAGAGTCTATTCAGCTTGCAATTAAAGGCAAGCCTACCCAATTCATACATTCTGAAAATCTGGCAGGTGAAGTATTCTACATCATCTGCTACCTGATTCCTTTAACTGGAGATACTGGTGTCTGAATCTGGGATCTTCTGCTTGCAAAGCATACGCTTAGCCACTGGTCTGTGATCTGATCTCTTGCAGGCCCCATGCTCTTCCTGTCTCCCAGAACAGAAACCAGCTTCTCCTTTATTGCCCCATCTACTGTAATGAAATGCATTTTCTCTGTTGCTTAGTTCCTCTGCCTTATGTTATGGTCTTCCCCTTGCTACTCTGCTAACTGAGCGTCTGGAGATATGTTGCCCCTAAGAGTCATCTGGGCTCTTACTGTTATTGGACTGCCTCTACTTTTTGAATTCCATCTCCAACGCTAGATGCTTTACCCTTATAATTCAGCAAAATAATAACCTTGCATTCAGATGGTGAAATATATATGCCTGCAATATTTTCCCCCACTGCCTAGATGCAACCACATAAAAATAAGGAATTGTAATGAAAATGTCAAGTCACCTTTAACTATTGGGGTGTGAATATCATTGAAATAACAAGCGTATGTGCATGTTTACAGTGTTTCCGTGGACGCCTGCTTCACCCAGGATGGAAAATATAATTTGAAAATGTTACGGCTGCACACTTTACAAAATTTCATTATCATTCATCTCTTTCTTTCCAGATATAAAAATACTTGTGGAATTATTAGTGATTCCAAACTAAGAAGCAATGAATGAAGAGTTTCAGCACCTTTGGTCAGTGATTACATGTGAACTATGGCAATTTAATAACAACACACTTCCATACATGTCTACTCAGAAATAAATCCTACTGAGTTTAATGGAGTCTACTCCTAGGTAAGTAGTTATAATGTTGCAGCTTAAATTATGTCAGCTCTCAAATCAGGGGTGGTTAAGATGTTGTTGGGCTTGAACTCCCATCATTTCTAGTCACTGTGGCAAATGGTCAAGGATATGTTAAACAGTTCTGTTTATTTCTTTTTAAAATGAATAAACTGTGATAATGGATACGTTTACAGGCCCCAACTGTCAAAAAAACATGTTTCAATACACTGTTGAAAATATATATACATATATGAGTTCTTCTTTCCACTCTTTGTTTTATCTGCTACTATTTCAACTTTATTACTATAACATGGATACATAAAAGGCTTCTCTTGACAGCAGCCTTCAAGAAGTTGGTATCTTTATCACAAAAGAAACCAACTTTTTATCCTGCTCATCAGTAAGATCATCAACCAAATCAAGCTGAAAGAACTATCAATATAAGGACTACCACCCTTTTTTCATTTTCATTTACTTTTGGTTTCTGTCATAGAAGGGATTTGTTCTAATCAAGCTAGGGAGAACCAGGTCTAAAATCCTGGAGAGCCACTGCCAGGCAGTGTAGAGGCAATACCAACCTATATGGACCATCCGTCTGACAGCGTCTGTGTGCAGATTCAAGTACTGGCTGTCTTTTATGTCTTCACTGGATCAGTAGCCACTGCCAGTATATTCCACATAGGCAATTTAATGGTCATTGGAGGCCCTCCCACTTTAGGTAGTGTCATCCCAAGGGGAAGGGGTTCTTTTTGGCTTCAGGTAGGCAATAAAAGAAATATCAAGTTGCACTTCAACAGTCCTTGAGATACTGTGGTTCTAAGCCTAAGGCTTTATAGGTCAAAGCCAGCACTTTGAATTGGGTCCAGAAACTAATTGACAGCCTGTGCAGCTGGGCCAGGATTGGCCTTTTATATGCTCAAACCACCTAGTCCCGGTGAGCAACTTGTCCACTGAATTCTTCACCAGAAAGATACCATGGTGCAAAAGCTGCTGAGAGGTTTAGCAGAATTAACAAGGACACAGGCAAACTGCTGTAGCTCAGTTAAACTTTTAATACCAAGTCCTACAGAGAGTTCTATGAAGTTGGAAATCTACCCCACTGCTTTGAAATGTACAGCTAGTCCTCTTAATAAAAGTATGATGGTGATGCTGTTTCTAATTTATCTCCCCTCTTTCCTCATTGATCAATACAGATACTTTCATTTTTGGTTTATTTCCTCTTGTTACTGTGCACTGTTTTTAAACATTTTGGGCACCATTAGAATATTTGTGTTTGCTGTTACTGATGTCATGACTGTGCCTATAAATCTAAAATACAAAATGAAGAATGCCAAATGCTACACAGGTATGATGATTTCTTTTGGGTTTATATGTTAAATACAGTTCAGTATGGCATGAAGGAAACCCAGGAGCTCACTCGCTGATTTATAATTCTGCTTGAGGCATTTTAGGCATTCAGAAATGCTCTGTGCACTTCTTGCCTTATGACTTAAATCAAGTTTTCAGGTTATCACTTTTTGAAGCATAGTTTTTTATTATAAAGTATGCTGAACAGATATTTTAAAGAACCATTATGACACTATTTGGAGAGGTTCCACTTTGTACAGCCACACTATTTTATGTGATTTGATTGTTGTATGGCATATTGTGCTGTGTATGTGTGTATTTGGGGTGTGTGTCTTTTTCCATTTTTGGTAGAGAGTGAGGTAAAAATAGAGTGAGGTAAAAATAGTTTTTTTATAGATTGGAACAGTATAAATAAATAAATAAATTTATCATGGGAACTTTCACTCTTCTTTCAAACAAATATTTCCCAGCCAAGTAAAGGTAAAGGTAAAGGTAAAGGGTCCAGTCGTGGCCGACTCTGGGGTTGCAGTGCTCATCTCACTTTATTGGCCGAGGGAGCCAGCGTACAGCTTCTGGGTCATGTGGCCAGCATAACTAAGCCGCTTCTGGCGAACCAGAGCAGTGCACGGAAACGCCGTTTACCTTCCCGCCGGAGCGGTACCTATTTATCTACTTGCACTTTGATGTGCTTTTGAACTGCTAGGTTGGCAGGAGCAGGGACTGTGCATTGGGAGCTCACCCCGTTGCGGAGATTCAAACCGCCGACCTTCTGATCGGCAAGTCCTAGGCTCTGTGGTTTAACCCACAGCGCCATGGTAACACTGCACAAATGTAAGGAGTTCGAAAAAGTGTGAGCTATTTCAACAGAGGAAGTGCTTCCATACTGTTTAATTTCCTGCAGCCGGAATATAAACATATCCTCCTTCCCAGCTACACGCACACACTAAATGCTGTTCAGTTATGATGAATGTTGCCGTTTTCTCTGTTGGCAGGGATAAATTCCCTCCTGCACCTCCTTGCTCTTCAGAAATTAAGGTTTTCCACCCCTAATGTGGACTCTATCTTCTTTCTCCACAACATTCATAATCCTATATATTCATTCACTTATAATATACCCTTCCTTCCACCAGACTGTCATGTCCCCGCACCTTGTTTCTAGACTAAAAAGCCTAAATGTTGTCACCTTTTCTTGTAGAAGTCATTAGGTGGTGCAATGGGTTAGTGTGTCTGGCTGTTAACCAGAAGGATGTTGGACCAAGCCCACCCAGGGATGGCTGTAGGCAGGATTCCTACATTGTAGGGAGTTGGTCTGAATGACCCTCAGGGTCCCTTCCGATGCTATAATTCTATGATTCTAGGAGCTCCAACCTCATTTTGGTTGCTCTTTTATGAACCTTTTCCAGCTGTACAATATGTCACAGCTAAAAACTGGCCGCTGTTTCTTTAATGCTAAAAGAACTAAGTAAGCATGAGACAGCGGCCTACAATGACTCATGCAACCTTTCACCAAATTGTACCTGTATATATAGAGTGGTCAATGTTAGTGTTGGGTGTGGGTTGGTTGGATGGTAGAATGCTGGTTGCGTTTGGTGTGTGTAAAATGCTGGTTGCGTTTGGTGTGTGTCGGTCGTAGTTGGAGAAGAAGATTTTTTAAGAATAAAAGCAGCAATACTCTGCAAGAATATTCTTTCTCAAAGACTCTTTTGTGTCAACTAAGGTCTGAGGACTAGGCAAAGGATTAAAAAAGAGGTCAGAACCTTTTCTTTTTCAGACACTGACACAATATCCTTCTGGAACTGAGGGGACTAGAACTATACACATTATTGTACATGGAGTCACTATAGGACTCATATAAGCAATATAATACTGACAGTTTTATTTTTACTCCCTTTCCTAATCACCTCTAACACAGAATTTGCCTTTTTCACAGCTGCCGCACACTGCACCAACATCTTCACTGACCCCAAGGTCTCGTCCCTCAGCAATCACTGCCACTTCAGACCCCATTAGTGTAGATGTGAAATCAGGATTTTTTGCCCCAATGTGTATCACTTTACACTTTCTTACAGTTAATTCAATTTGATCTATTCAGTTGATCCGCTCACATTTCCAGATGGTATGCTTATTTCAGATGTGACTATCATTGTGATTCATATTTCTTTAACCTTTCATTTTTTAAGGAAAACATTCACATGTCCAAATTTCCTCACGATACTGTTGGCTTATGCAAATGGATGATGTTATAATGTCCTTTTAGCACAGGCATAGGCAAACTCAGCCCTCCAGATGTTTTGGGACTACAACTCCCATCATCCCGAGCTAACAGGACCAGTGGTCAGGGATGATGGGAATTGTAGTCTCGAAACATCTGGAGGGCCGAGTTTGCCTATGCCTGTTTAGCACCTAAAGTTTAGATCATCTACATTGTGTGTGTTCCCTGGACACACTATATTTTATACCTGCCTCTTTATTATAATTCCTCAAAGGGATTTGTTTTATAGGACCTGGTCCTGTAATGCACTAATCTGAGTTCTGTTGCCATACATGGGTATGTTTATTATGTACCAAATGGAACAATTTGCTACAGAAGCTAGAAGATTTAACAGGAAATGTCTTCAGAGCATAGAGGGAAATTGTAAAAATAAATAAATGACCAGTTAAATTAGGAATATGAATGATGTCCTCTGTTCCCCTGGAGAGACTTTTTATTCTCTTTATTGCTTGTCTCTCTCTCTCTCTGTGTATCTATCTACTAAATGCAAAATTATTTATATCTTATCAGTATATGTTGGGTCTTTGTTGTTGTAAAAACTACCTTTGGTCACAAGCAACATAGATTTGCTTTGAAATTGAATCTTATTGGAAAAATATCATTTACCAAGCAATTCCATGCATGTTTAGCTCAGCAGTAATCAGATTGAGTTTAGTCAGGCTCACTCCCACTTAGTATGCATCATTTTGCAGCCTAGCAGGACAATCCTATATATGTCTACTCATAAGTAAGTCTCATTAGGTACAATGGGGCTTAATTCCAGTGGGTATAACTTAAATATAAATCAAAAGGGCAATAAAATAAATAGTATTCAAACAAACAAACAAGCAAATAAAATATGTGATGTCAAAAGCACTGGCAAGAGGGAAAAAAGTTTACTTTTGAGTACAATTTTACCACAATAAAGCAGAATGCTATTCTGGAAGCTTTACACGTTCAAATCTATAAAAGGACAAATAGAATTATCGGTAAATCAAATGAAATTGTTTGGTCTCAGTCTTTTGGCAGACCTCTTCAATGCCCAAACAGGTAGGATTTCTTCTTTTAAAAAGAGTTATTGAGTTATCAAAATACAATGCAAAATATGATATTTAGCGAAAGGTCAGAAACAAAAAACAAAACAAAGGCGTTTCAGAAGCTTAAAATGTCAAGATGCACGAGAGACTTAGTAAATAAAACATTTCTAATGCTTCAGTCCTAATTGGAAGTAAGTTTCAGTGAAATCAATGGGACATTCTTTCAAGTAAATGTAGTTATGATTGAAGTCTTAAACTGTTAGTGACTATTTTCAAGACCAGGTAACCCAGCATATATAATATGTTGATTATGTGTGGTGCTTGGCAGTAACCTCACTTACTACAGTTGTATCTCTTTAAGCTTTCATCCTGAAGTTGGACATTTTTTGTTTATGTTCCTTCCTATTCATTTTAAGCTTCAGTGGCCTAATGTCCTGTTCTGCACACCATCATTTATACTTTAAATATGAAAGATTTTCATTCTGAGCTTTTAAGCTATTAGTTCTAGGATATGCTCTTCACTTATAACCAGCTTCTAATACGCTATAATGACTAGGAAAGATGGAAATATTTGTAGAGTACTAATATTAATTAATCAATATGCTTTAGTTCCATAATATACAAAACAGGTAGGGAGGATTTGAACCCGGAGGAAAATTAATGGGAGCTTGGAGGCCAGTGCTAAAATGGCAGCTTTTAGATATTTTTGAATAAATTACAGAGAATGTGGGAGAACAATTGTTTACCACAGAAGCTGGTGGCTCCCACATGGACCTGCCCTGGTCTTTCAGATCATCATAACCAGCCTGTGAGGTCAGAGAAGGCTTTCTTGGTAGTAGTGGTAAGGTTGTACAATACCTTTATTTTTACAATTCTTTTTTGTTTGTTTGTTTCTAGATAAATGTCAGTAACTTTAAAAAATAAATAAACTAGGTTTCAATATGTGTTCTGCTACCTTCAAGGAATTGCTTCTACAGGAAGGGGCAGGTGACTGCACAGTGTAGGAGATGACAACGATGCAGTCCATGGTAGTGCTGAGGGAGCTGTCCAAATGCCATAAGCTACTGCAGAAGAAATCTTGCAAGGACTGTTACTTGTCTGTCACTGCAAAAAGTGAGTGCGTGAAATCTCATGAGATGTGGGATTTCCAAGCCTCAGTCAGTTTTAGGGGGCCACCTTTCCCCATTGTTGGGACTATAGGAAAGGCGTCTCCTGCAGAACTTACAACAAAGGCAGACTGCTATGGGCACTCCTTCAGGTTCCTGGGTCCCAGATCATACAGGGCTTTGAATGTTAAAGTCAACACCTTGATGTGAGTCCAGTAATATATTGGCAGCCAGTGCAGAGTCTTCAAAACTAGTGTAATATTATTTCACCTTGCTGACCCAGTAAGTGTTCTAGTGGTCATATTTTGTGCCAGCTGCAGCTTCGAGACAATCTTCAATATATAGCACATTACGGTAATCCAACTGACAGGTTAATAGAGCACAAATAAGAGATATTTGCGGTACATAAATGCTTTAAAGTAAATAAATACAGTGGATTACTATGATGTAGCTATTATGATCCAGGAATGGCTGTAGCTGGAAAAATGCACACCACACCACTGAAGGCATTTGATTCTCCAATGATAGATTCAGCAGCAGGCCTTCCTCCTCACCAAGCTGTGCCTGATCCTTCAACAGAAGTGCGACTACATGAGCCAGTGTGGTATAATGGTTAGAGTGTTGGACTAGGGCCTGGGAGAACAAGGTTCAAATCCCCATTCAGCTATGAAGCTCAGTGGGTGACCTTGGGCCGGTCACTATGTCTTAAAAGGTAAAGTTAAAGGGACCCCTGACATTGGGTCCAGTCATGATCGACTCTGGGATTGCAACACTCTCGCTTTACTGGCTGAGGGAGCCGGCGTACAGCTTCCGGGTCATCTGGCCAGCATGACTAAGCCACTTCTGGTGAACCAGAGCAGCACACGGAAACACTGTTTACCTTCCCGCTGGAGCGGTACCTATTTATCTACTTGCACCTTGATGTGCTTTCGAACTGCTAGGTTGGCAGGAGCAGGGACCGAGCAATGGGAGCTCATCCCGTCGAGGGGATTTGAACCGCCGACCTTCTGATCAGCAAGTCCTAGGCTCTGTGGTTTAACCCACAGCGCCACCCGCATCCCTTTCACTATGTCTTAAGAAGAGAAGAAGAGTTTGGATTTGATATCCCGCCTTTCACTCCCTTTAAGGAGTCTCAAAGCAGCTAACATTCTCCTTTCCCTTCCTCCCCGACAACAAACACTCTGTGAGGTGAGTGGGGCTGAGAGACTTCAAAGAAGTGTGACTGGCCCAAGGTCACCCAGCAGCTGCATGTGGAGGAGCGAAGACGCGAACCCTGTTCCCCAGATTACGAGACTACCGCTCTTAACCACTACACCACACTGGCTCTCCTCACATAATGAAATCTTAACCTCACATAATAAAATAATAATAATAATAATATTTTATTTAAATCCCACCCTCCCCAGCCAAAGCTGGGGTCAGAGCGGCTAACAACAGTAAAATGATAAAACATTCTAAAATCATTTCATTATAAATTGTTGTGAGGCTGAAATGAGGAGGAGAACCATGTGACCATCTTGAGATCCTGGGAAGATAAAAGTTGTGTATAAAGGAAATAAATAAAACAAATAAATAAGCTAAATAATTCATGTTTGGTGTTCCATTTTCCAGGACTGCTGTAAATGATCATGCATGAAAGGACAGGGATGTATATATCAGGAATCATTTTTCAGTGGTCATGGAAGATGCATGTATGTGCAGACGTTGTTTGGAAACTCAATAGATACTCAACACCAGGGCATGAAACTGCTGAAAACTGAGAAGAAATAAAGGGGCAGGTTTATCACATCTCTAATTTTTCCCCTGTTGCATTATTAATAGCAACAAATTTTGATCATGGATGCATCTGTTGCAAACCTTCAATTTCTTTCTTCTTTTA